GCCAATCAGAGCTCAAATCAGTCCAGCAGTTTAATTACCTAGGTAGCCTCATCTCCTCGGATGGTAAGATTGACGGGGAGATAGACAACAGGTTAGCAAAGGCATAGAGTGCCTTTGGAAAGCTTCATAAAAGAGTTTGGCGAAATAAACACTTGAAGAAAAGTACAAAGATCAGTGTTTACAGAGCCATAGTGCTGTCTACTCTCTTATACAGATCTGAATCATGGGTCATCTACTGCCACCACCTGCGACTCCTAGAACGCTTCCATCAATGCTGTCTCTGCACAATCCTAAACATCCACTGGTCAGATTATGTGACCAATACATCTGTTCTAGAACAAGCAGCAGTCACAAGCATTGAGGCCATGTTGCTGAGAACACAGCTGCGATGGGTGGGGCACATCTCCAGGATGAAGGACCACCGCCTCCCTAAGATCCTGCTCTATGGTGAACTTGCCACCGGCTGCCGCAAGAGAGGAGCCCCAAAGAGAAGATACAAGGACTCCCTGAAACAACATCTCAGCCTTGGCCATATTGATCAACATAACTGGTCTACTCTGGCCTCAAACTGGGAGGCCTGGAGACACACCATCTATAACGCTGCTGATGCTTTTGAGAAAGCACACAGGATCACCCTTGAGGAGAAAAGACAACGTAGAAAGAATCGTGCCTTGCAGATATACCATCTAAGGAGTCTTTCTGCTGTGCCTTTTGCAACCAGATGTCTATCTCGTATTGGCCTTTTCAGCCACCAACACGCCTGCAACAAACATGGGTAGAGCCCTTCCCAAAACTTCATTTGTGAAGCCTAGCCATGATGATGATGATGAAGTTACAAGAAAAGGTGGAAAAGCTGAGCCACTTTTCTGAAGGAATTATAAATAACTAGAAAGTTACATAGAAAGCAGGAAGGGATTTCTCTGAGGACCTGAGGATTTGAACCTGCTACCACTATCTAGCCCTGGAAGAAGGGAGAATAATTAGAAAAGATGGAAAATGTTTTTAGTCATAGAATATCTTGAGCTGGAAGGGATCCACAAGGAGCATCAAAGTCCAGCTCCTGGAACTCCTCTTTGTGAGCACCAAATGGCAGAAGGTATAGTCTGTTTCTGGTGCTGAATCTGACTGGCATCTTCTCAGCTCCTGAAAACCAGCACCAGCACAGTCCTGCCCCCACTGGGGGGCTCTGACTCTGCCAAGTAGTGCCAGGCAATCACAGATATTTTAAGCAAGTTTGGGTTTTCTTTGTCATGACAACAGCCCACTCATCCTGATTCTTCTAAAGCACAAAGTTAAAAATAATATCAAATAAGTAAGAGGAAGAAGGGGGTGGAGACAAAAGGAGACTGTGGAATTATAGAATGGTTTGGATAAGAAGGAACCTTAAAGATCCAACTTATTCCAACCCCCTACTATGAGGAGGGACACCTTCCACTAGCCCAGGTTGCTCCAAGCACAATCCAGCCTGGCCTTGGACACTTCCAGGGACAGGGCAGCCACAGCTTCTCTGGACAATCTGGGCCAGGGTCTCACCACCCTCTCAGAGAAGATCAAAACAAGTCTCATATTTTACCCCCTGATGGTGACATGGGAGCAGGTTTCTGGTCTGGTATCTTGGGCCATCTCCAGAACTCGCAGCTGATACAGAAATTCATCCCATCATCTATACCCATCATGTTGGCATCAACCAACAGATCCCCACAGGACTGACCAGAAAATTGCTCATATCCTTAAAGTTTCTTCTGTGGGGTCTAACTCTGAATAAACTATTTTGGCTGCTGGGTTTTCCAGCCATTAATCTTTTTTTGTGGTTTACCAAACACAAACACAAATAATTCTTGGGTTGTTTCAACCTCTAGGGTTGCAATCTTTGCATTCTTTATATATTTAATTTTGTACACTTTAAAAAGCAATATTTTCTGTGTAACAGGCTGTCCTGGTCCATAGTCCCTTTGAACACCCCTGTCATCAGGGGTTCAAAGAAGCCTGACTCACACTTTCAGGTCAATACATCCACAGGTCACAGCACAAGTCAGGGAGGAGGCATCTACCTGAGAAGAGATCACTGCTGTGGCCCCCATGCTAATACAGGGGTCTCTGCACCAGCATCCCATGGGAGTTGCTACACCAGGATCCCTACCTGAGCTGCCAGAACAGGCACAGCAAGTGGAGCAGTGAGCAAGAGACATGGAAAGGAGATTAGTGAGAGGCAAGCAGAAGAGGAAAGGGATAGGAAAGGTCATGAGGCTCAGATACCAACCTGTGACTGGAGGTTGCTCAGCCCAGCAGGTTACAAGAAAACACTGTGGCACTGCTATTATACCTACAGATGTGTCTTCTCCTCCTGGTGAAACAGCCGAGTCCCTGAAGGCTGCTCTAAGCCACACTGAGAGCCACAGATGCCCAACTGGACAGCCAGGGGCTGGATCTGTTGCTGAAGTGTTATAAAACAAGCAGAGTCTTTAGCAAAGGCTGGTCCTCAGCTGTGAACTGTGCTTGCTCTCGGTGGTGATATGACTGTGCTGTTTACAAGAAGCACAAACTCATTTGCCGTGTTCTCAGATTCACAGAATCACAGAATGGTTTGGGTTGGAAGGGACCTCAAAGATCATTCTAGTTCCAACCCCCAAATTAATACATTGCTTGAAATGAAAGCCAGCACCTTAAATATAGCCAGGCTCGTGTTTACAACCCGCTGCACTCTAAGAATGATGCCATTAGAAGGAAACAGCCGCCGATGCTCGTTCTGTTTATAAACAGTCCCCACATGCCTCCCTGAAAGGTGTGTGGTTTGCAGTTGGTAGTTCTGGCTGAAAAACCTCATGACCCACAGGTGAGACTTCCCTAGTTAGCTACTTGTGTATTTTCTTGATTAGATACTTCATCATTCATCCAGGTAGGATGACTCTTAGGGTAAGGTGATGGATATTTAGGAGTATCAGCACAGGAGAGTACAACCATTCAGCTGCCATGAACTTTGACATGCAACGTCAAAGCAATTATGACTGAGAGACAGAGAGTAGTTTTCTCTCTGAAAAACAAGTGAGGACAACCCCACGAGGTGGGTTTATTGAGAGGGAAAGAAATAGGTCAGGAACAAGAACCAGGTTACGATTTCCTGGTCAGTGGTTACTGTAAGAGCAGAGCTGGTGATACACGAGAGCAAGCAAAAAACGCCTCCAGGGGTTTGCTCTGCACCTCATGGTGAGCTTGGTGGTCATAACGAAACAGCTGCTGCCACAAATGAGTACAAATGCCTGTAACTGAATGAGATGGTTACCCATGGACTGTCAAACCAGCTCCCAGCGACCCACAGGGCAGAGAATACATCTGATTCAAGAGAAAAGCACCAAAGGAATCATCTCAGAATCATAGAATCGCAGAATGGTTTGGGTTAGAAGAGACCTTAAAGATCATCTAGTTCCAAACCCCCTTGCCATGGGCAGGGAAACTTTCCACTAGACCAGCTTGCTCTAGGTCGAGTCCAACCTGGCCTTGAGTCGTTTAGACCCAACAACTCACCTGACCTACTCTGGGGAGGAAACCCAGGGTCTACCTGCACGGGGTGGATCTAATTTTAAGTGGTTTCTGTGCAGTCAAAATGAAATATGAGAATGCATTCACACAGGTTTGCCCTGATTTAAATGCAGGGGGGAAAGGAAATAGAGGCTTAAAGCCTCCACCAACAGAAATCAAAGTCAGAGGTCTGAGAGTCTGGCTCAGCTCTGGGTAAAACATGAAGTTATGTCAAAAAAAAAGCAACGTTGCAGCAATTTGATAAAATAATAAATAGTTATATAATCACAGAATATCCTGAGTTGGAAGGGACACACAAGGATCATCAAGTCCAGTTCCTGAACAGTGAGTCCTTTCAGTCTCTGTTCCTTGTGCAGCTAAGAAAGAGAAAGGGTAATTCTTTCTTTCCTAAAGTAGGACATTCCAGCTCAGCAGACAATCCTGCCCTGCAGGTACAATTCCTCATTCCCTTGATGGGGAGGGATCCTCTTCCACCACATCAATCCCAGCACCTATTATTTAGCTGGTTAAAGATCAGCAAGATGAAGCCATCTTGTATTTCCTTGCATTCCTGCTCAGCCAGCCATCCAGCTGGTGGAGAAGGGTGTTTGTCAGGACGACTTCTTGTCTGGAAGATGATAGGACAGGCCTTTCCCAGTTCTCATGAACCAGGTTCCCAAATTCCAGCTCCAGCCTTGCAGTGTGGTATCTCCCATCTCATTTCCCACCATCCCCAGAGACCATCCCCAAGGTCTGGAGGACCTGGCTCCCCTGCCATCTCCCCCCAGTGTTGCCTATAGAACCTCCCTTTAGTCCTTTCAGCCTCTTTTTTTGCATATTTTCATCTATTTAGGCTGCAAATTCTCTTCTGCTCACTCTTACTCATATCACTGTACCGGAAAATGCCTGATCTTTGCTGAAATCTCTTGGTGCTACTGCAGCACAAACCCATTCTCTGTGTCTGCTTTCATTTTGAGCTACCACAAAACAACTTTTTTTAAATAAAATATGTTTTTTTATTCAGCAGATAAGTTATTGAATAAATACAGATTAAAATTATCCTTTTTTTTGTACTCTGAGCACACACAAAGCCATAAATACAGTCATAAATATAAGACATAAATAGAATTATAAATATTTGATTGACAGAGATAATATCTTAGTGAGCAGGGGTAGCCAGAGAAGGGAAAGGGGTAGGGGATGAGTAAGGGAAGGAGATGGTGCAAGATGAGGAATTTTTTATGGTAGTGCTGGTAGGTATGTATTCATTAGGGCAACTTACTGCCAAGGACAACTTTTGAAAATATAACTCCTTTGACTCCCCAAACTGATAAAAACTACAATGACAAATAAATTCAAAAAAGCACTGCTTGGGATCACAAACAAAGCTTTTTCTCCATCCCTCTCCCTCCCCTCCATCACCAGCTACCAGCGATTCCCATTCTAAAATCCATCAAGCAACAACAGCTGAATCATGAGGTAATTTCAAGAGGTAATTTGTTCAGGTTTGGAAAGGCAATGTCTTGTTGAATTCCTGGGATTCGCGGTGGGCGACTGTGGGATTTCACCAGAGGGGTGTCTATAGGATATATTGCTTCTTCCCAGTGTGGTCTGCCCTAATAATTCCTCCTAGGAGTGGTGGTGGATGACTGGAGTGACGCAGGTGCAGCCCACGGTGATGACCTTCTTCTCCAGGCGGTAGGTGGGCCGGCAGCCTTGCTGCTCCCGCCGCAGGACCAGGATCTCCTGCTTGATGGGGACGGAGTTGAGGCTGTGGTCCTCCTGCCCCAGGGGGCTCACACAGCCAGAGAGGCGGCACTGAGCATCAGCAATCACCTGGGGGAAGCGGTTGGGATCCTTGTCAAGCCTGGGGATGAGCACACAAAAGGGACTTATGTCTTTGCACAGCATGGGTTGGCAGAATCTTCTTGTTTATCTCCATGGAAGCACCTTACTGTTCACCTGTGCATCCTCACTATGAGACCTGGCCAAATAATTTCCCTGTCCTCAACATTTTTTAGAATTATTTCCTAGAAATGGAATCAGTTTTGGGAGGGTAATACTGCTGTATCATTCTTTGGGAATTGGGAATGGAGAGGAGCTGAGTTAAATACAGAACTGATTGCAATTGCACAATTCATTTTTTTAATAATTTTTTAAATGGTTTTAATTTCAGAATTCAGAAACTTCTTTCAGTTTGGAAAATTTAGAATTACAGTGGACTGACATCATTCTTTTCCCAGAGGAATAATTAGTTTCATCATTATTTCGACCCCATGCAGTGCTATAGCCTAGAGGCAGATTGGCTGGAAAGCTGGAAAAGGACCTGGGGGTGCTGTTTGACAGCAGTTGAGCATGAGCCAGGTGTGCCCAGATGGCCAAGAAGGCCAATGGAACCTGAGCTGTATCAGCAATAGTGGGGCAGCAGGGCCAGGGCAGTGCCCATCCCTGTGCTGGCACTGCTGGAGCACCTCCAGTGCTGGGGTCAGCTCTGGGCCCCTCGGACAAGAGAGACACTGAGGGGCTGGAGCATGTCCAGGGAAGGGAACGGAGCTGAGGAAGGGTCTGGAGCACCAAGAGCAGCTGAGAGAGCTGGGGGGGCTCAGCCTGGAGAAAAGGAGGCTCAGGGGGGACCGTCTCTATCTCTCTGACTCTTCGGCAGGAGGGTGGAGCCAGGTAGAGGTTGGGCTCTGCTCCCAAGGAACACGTGACAAGAGGAAAAGGCCTCAAGTGGTGCCAGGAGCGGTTTAGATTGGATATAAGGAAAAATTTCTTCCCCAAAAGGGTTGACCAGCCCTGGCACAGCTGCCCAGAGCAGTTGTGGAATCACCATCCCTGAAGGGGTTTAAAAGCTGTATAGATGTGACACTTGGGGACATGGTTTAGTGGTGGCTCTGGCAGTGCTGGGGGAATGGTTGGACTTGATGATCTTAGACGTATTTTCCAACCTAAAGGGTTCTGTGATTGACACAAGCTGACAAGATGATTAGAAACCTTTCCAGTGAAGTCCCTTTGCACTTCAGTTGGTCTTAGAGAAATCTCACACAACATCAAAAATCAGCATATGTCAACAAGTGTTTGCAATATTTACAGGACTCTGGGCATATGCTGAGAAACAGTCATCGTTTACCCCCAAAAAAATCCTCTTTGTACATAGACATCACAATTTAGATAACAAGTAAACAGTTTACCTGTAATCCCAAGGAGCAAGAGATCGGTTTCTGATGTCATGGACCATCCTAAAGGTATGATGTGACTTGCTGATACGAATGTTGACTTCCACTGCTGTGGGGAATTTGAGATCCTTTTGGTTCAGGCAATCTTCACTCAGCCTCACAGAGGCACTGGCCTTTCTGGAACTTACAGTGAGTGCTAGAACCAGCACCAAAACCAGTGATCTGAACTGAGAGAGAGGAAAGTTGTCTTAGTTCTGTCCAGGCAAGAAAAGGAGAGCAGAAAAAACCAAGTCTTGACTTAACTGGACCATCAATGGACTACCTTCATACTTATATTTGGGTGAGACATGCCAGCATGAACAAACAGCACAGCACCACAAATAAAACTCATCAGAAAAGGTGCTTAAATCTGATTTAAATTCTGATTCATAGCTGGCTTTGCAACAAGAAGAGCATCCCTCAAACAAGTTGCAAAAGGTCCTCCTTCACAGTCACACAGCACTGTCTTATGACCTACAAAGGAGGGTAAGGACTGAGCTGACCTTATGCCTTAGAAATCCAGCAAGAAATACAATTTCTCAGGACAGTAAAGACTGGCCACCCTCATCTGCTGGAAATAACACTTTTCCCAAGGAAATCTGAGATTCTTGGGTCATCTCCAGTAGACAGAGCTTTAGTGACTCACAGAGTCATAGAATATCCTGAGTTGGAAGGGACCCACAAGGATCATCAAATCCAACTCCTAAAAAGAAGACAAAATAAATGAAGAGGTTTTAAGGAAATCACAGGAGTTGATTGTGCTGCAAATGCTACCCAGGTTGAAATTTAAATTCATAGACGTTCACAGTGAAATTTCAGCAACTTTTATAGCATGTTGTCTGAGAAAAGGACTGTCTCCCCCAAGTGCTGATAACTAAGAGATAAATAAATCATAAATAGTCCACTACATCCTTGTCACTCAAGCACCAAACACAGTTGCATCAGCATCCCATTCAGCTCCCACCAGGACCAAAAGGGTTTCTTGTAGAAATCACAGGACCTGTACTCTGCTTTCTCTCTTGCAGAAAATATTTCTTAACCCTTATATTAAATGTAAGTACTTACCACAGCAGTGTAGCTGGAAAAAGCCATGGTAACGTCTCTGCTGCTTTGGGCGGGGTGACAAGGCACGAGAGTTCTCCTTCTCTGAGGCCCCTTCCACCTGCTTGAGTCTCAAAGACAGTTGTGATCTCCTTTTTATAGTAAAGTTCAGCTGCTACCACCCTTTCCATTGCAGCACAGCTGCCTTACCTGACCTGAGGTTGAGCTGAATATTTCATTTCCTAGCCCACTTCCTTCCATCTACCCCCAAAAAGGGGAGGGCAGACACTATCACCAGAATCCCAAATTAGCCAATACTATTTCTTCAGGCAGATAAAGAGATAAGGAAAGAAAAAGAGAAAAAAAAAATTGTTCAGGCAGCTTTTTTTTACTGCCTCCCACCCCCTCTTTCTAATAATAATGTTCTTTCACCACAAACACATGTGTGGATGCACTTCCACGTGCCTCACACAAACCAGACAGCAGAGATGAGCAAGCTGCAAAGCCAGGCACCCAGTAAGGCTTTCAAAATGAGGACAGCACATAAGACTTCACCATTTAACCTCCCTTGGCCCCAGCTGCACAATTCATCCCCACCTGGTCTTGGGGTTCCCTCTTGTTCCCTCTGCAAGGACGGAGCAGGGGAAAAATAGGAGCCACAGGGAATTCCTCCTGGGAGACCTCAGAGCACCAGGACCTGGGATGTCTCTCCCTTTCACTTCTGAGGTTCCGTGTTGACATGCTCTGGAGAGCTCTACAAAAAGCTCTGCTCTCTTTGAAAGCCCCATAAGGGCCCTGAGGGCACTGATCACCCCTGGTGGCCTCAACCACCATCAGCAGGGCCCCCATTCCAGATCAGCTTTGACTCCCAGTGCCTGCCTGAGCTATGCTGTCAGAGTACTGCTTTCCTGTCCCTTCTCTGGCCTTGCCAACAGGGTGAACCTTGGAGCAGCATTTCTCCTGGATGGACTCCTTGGACATTCATGGTGGGGAATGGAGCTGGGGAAGGGGCTGGAGCACCAAGGTCAGCTGAGGGAGCTAGAGGGGCTCAGCCTGGAGAAAAGGAGGCTCAGGGGGGACCTTCTCACTCTCTGCAACTCCCTGACAGGAGAGTGTAGCCAGGTGAGGGTCAGGCTCTGCTCCCAGGCAATATGTGACAGGACAAGAGGACATAATCTCAAGCTATGCCAGGGGAAGTTTAGGTTGTACATTAGGAAGAATTTCTTCTCAAAAAGGGTAATTAGACAGTGGAATGGGCTTCCCAGGGAAGTGGTGGAGTCCCCATCCCTGGAGGTGTTCAAGGAAAGACTGGACGTGGCACTCAGTGCTCTGGTGTGGTTGACAAGGTGGGAATTGGTCAAAGGCTGAACTCAATGATCTGAGAGGTCTTTTCCAATCTAAATGATTCTGTGATTCTGTGTGACCTGCCCCATGGCCATACTGCACTGCATTCTGCCTGACTCTCCTCTGAGTGCCACAGGGGCTGCCGAAAATATTTTTAAACAGTTTTTTCTCATTTTAAAGTGTCTGAAAGGGCTGTACCACCCCCACCAGCACAGGAGCTGTAGAGAGTGATGGTACAGCAGTGGTGAGGGGTGAGGTGTGGGGGTAACTGGGAGCATAGGACTCCCTGTGGTAGCATTGGAGCAAACTCATATGGAGTCAATATGTATGTGTGTGTGTGTATATATACATGAAAGCACAGAATCTGTTAGGTTGGGAAAGACCTCTGAGACCATCAAGTCCAACCTATGCCCTATCATCACCATGTCAGCTAGACCATGCCACAAAGTTCCATGTCCAGTCTTTCCTTAAACACCTCCAGGGACGGTGACCCCACCACTGGATCTCTCCAGCAGCTGCCCCTGGGTCCCCCAGTCCCCCATTGCTTCATGCACCAACACAAACGCCCATCAGTGGCTGCTCCTGACCAGCAGCCAACTTCCAGATCCCACAATCTCCCCAGTAGCTGGTCTAGACCTCCCAGTATTCCCAGTAGCCAATTTGCAGACCCTCTAGTCTGATCTGGCATCCTGCCCAGATTTGTGGCTGCTCCAATACCCAGAACACGTCCAGCTTGATGTCTTTAGCATTTCCACACTGACTTAATGCTCACATACACACGTGTTCCTCACTGATCCACCTTCATCCTTTGCTTTCCCCAACTTTGCTCCTTCCTCTATACACCCTGTAAGTCTTGCACAGTCCCAAATACTCTTCCCAGAACACCATAACGAGTCCCATAATCCCATAGCCAGCAAGGTGATGTGGGGAAGGCCTCCCACATTAACTTTTCGGGGGGGACTCAGATCTGTACTGAGGTTGACCATCCCCCTTGGACATCTCTGGAAGAGCTGGGTCAGGGGCTTCATTGGCACTGTGTTACTGGGGTTCCTCCACCTGGTTCCTCCACTCCTTAGTGTTCATGGAAAATTTAATCACTCTTTATCACGTAATCCCCATTTTATAATTAGGGGAGAAAGGCATGAAAATAAAAGTGGAAACAGGACTCTGCATCCTGTGATCCAGAAAGGATCAGCCGCAAACTGGAGGAGAAAGACCAGTGCACCTGCTGTTTCCCCAGGAGCACCAGTAGGTTTCTTTGGGAGTAAAAGCTATTTTTATGGCAGAAAAAAGGCCTATATAAACACTTTAACCAGCTTTCCTGCAGAGAAAAGCCCTGAGAGAAATGTTTCCCAAAGCCATGTAGCCCAGCTAGAAGCAGAGGGCTGAAGTGTAGGACTCTTCACCCCAATTCATTTTCAGTCCTCCAGGAAATCAACAGATTCATGACATTTTTGGTCCTACAGAAAATCAGAATCCTCTTACAAATCTGTGTAATTTTCCAGTGAGAAGGGACTAGTCTGGTCTGAATAATACCAGCAGAAATCTCCATCAACTGATGCTTTACATCACTGCAGGATGTTGTCATGATTTTGTGGTCTGAATCAACTCTCAGCTCAGAGACCGGAGACTCTTCTCACATAAATTTTTCACATTTCAGGTTACTATGTTTACCTGAAGTAATACAAATGCTGTGACACATGTTCCTATTCTGACTGTTCTATGTATCCACCAGCGCATCTACTGAGAGGTGACACTGAGCATCGAAGACCAAAAGAGGGGAGAATTACCAGAAATCCACTCTTTTTAACCCAGAATCTGACCTCCTTTTTTTCCCCTGAATGCTCGACGTGAAAGGAAAGGGCATTGCCTTGAAAAATGGGTTGGATTGTGCAGGAACAGGGTTAAGTGGAAACTTACCTGTGATGAAGCAATGACGTTGTCATGCCAAACACCAGGTTATGAGCCCCCATCACCACTTTCCACTCGCAACTTGTGCCTTCAGCAGCCTGTAAATTCAGCAGGGATTCCCTCTTTGACCCAAAATTTCCTATGGTTGAACTTGCCTTTAATTGAAGTCCACTGAAAATTTGATTGAAAGGGGTCACCGAACACAAATCATTAGAAGGGAGGAAAAATACTCGTATTCATGGAATCACAGAATGGTCTAGGTTGGAAGGGACCTTAAAGATCATCTAGTTCCACCCTCCTGCCTTGGGTAGGGACACGTTCCACTATCCCAGGTTGCTCCAAGACCCATCCAACCTGCCCTGGAAGACTTGCAGGGATGGGGCAGCCACAGCTTCTCTGGACAACCTGTGCCAGGGCCTCACCAACCCCACAGGGAAGAATTTCTTCCTTAAATTAGGAATATATAGTTATCTCAAAAAGCTGTTCATTCCCACACATCGCAGCCTTGGAGCAGGGATTGGGACTTGGAAATAAACCGTAAAATTTTAATTTCACTTAAAAGAATTCTTCTACTCTTGAGTTACTATAAGGAAAACCCCACTGTTTGCACTGCAGGATTCAAGTTTTCACAGCACTGTAGGCATAAGAAATGCCTCATTTCAGGTTGGGCTTGGACTACAGAATCACAGAATAGTTTAGGTTGGAAGGGACCTTAAAGCTCACCTCATTCCAGGAAGCCTCTGCCAGGGGCAGGGATATCTTTCACCAGATGAGGTTGCTCAGAGGACCTTCTATAGCCTGCAGCAGCAAAAGGTTGGGACTGTAGCCTCTGAAAGCTCTGGATGTCAGGATTGAATGAATATTTCAGGGTGAGGTGGCTGCAGCACAGGGCAGGGCTTGTACCTCCAGCAGCTTGCTCCTGCCTCTCTGGCCACCCCAGATTTTACCCTTCTGACATGTGACACCACAAGATCACCTTCTGGTTTAGAGCTCTGACTGATCACATCCACGCAGGAGTTACTCTGGGACGGGTTTTCTCACAGGGTTTTATCACACCAGCAAGATTCATGGCCAAGTGCAGACCACAGCCAAAAGATGTGAACTGAAAACACCAAAATTTGAGGGGAAATGTGGCTGCCAGGTGTGCCACAGGTACCACCAGTGGAAACCTCTGCATGGGAATGTTGCTCCAGCTCAACAGTGACCACAGCTTTGTGTTACAGCTGTGGGACCTCAGAGGGGACCAGTGGAACCTCTGGGCTCCCTCCACAGGTCAAGGACAAACCTCATTTTCGGCTGTCACCCTGTGAGCCTTCGTCATGCTTTAGTCAGAGCTGTGGGATGAGTGGGAGGCAGGGCTTACATGATGCTGATGGTGTTGGTGTGGGGAATTCACTCCTAATCCCTGCAGTCTGTGTTCACCTGTCCTGCAGCAGGGAAATAAATAGCAGGGTTGATTTCTAGAATCAATAACCCTGCAGAGAGGAGGTGGACTAAGGGTTTGAGAAATACAATACTAAGGTACAATGTGACAAGGCCCATGAAGACGCTCTAAGGGCTGGAGCACCTCTGCTATGGAGACAGGGTGGGAGATCTAGGGTTGTTCATCCTGGAGAAGGCTCCAGGGAGACCTTAGAGCCCCATCCAGTGCTTAAAAGGGCTCCAAGAAAGTTGAAGAGAGACTTTCAACAAGGGCTTGGAGGGACAGGACAAGGCAGAAAGGCTTCCCACTGCCAGAGGGAAGGGTTAGGTTAGATATTAGGAAGAAATTCTTGTCTGTGAGGGTGGCGAGGCCCTGACAAAAGTTGCCCAGAGAAGCTGTGGCTGCCCCATCCCTGGAAGTGTTCCAGGCCAGGCTGGACAGGGTTTGGATAGTAGAAGGTGTCCCTGCCCATTGGATGGGGACAGTTAGACTAGATGAGCTTTAAGGTCCTTTCCAACACAAATCATTCTAGGATTATATAAAATAAGGTGCCAGGGAAGTACTGCGTGCAAGATCTGACACTACGCTCACAGTCCTGGTGTGGGACCAAGCCCATGGTAGGACAGATGGGTCGGTTGGTGGGTGAGGTATGAGAGTAGCAATGAGCAGGTTCTGTGTCAGGTCACTCAACTCAAAACAAGGGTCAGGGGCAGAGCTGCGGCTCCTCTTCTCAATCCCACACAGCAGGGACGAGACCAGGGAAATTATTAGGGACACAACTTGAAAGGAGGTGACAGGGAACACATATGACCAGACTCTTTGGTTGTTTTTGTTGGATTCCCTGAACTGTTACTTTTCTTACCTGTGATCTTTAATATCAAAACGAGCATGATGTCACTCAAGAAAGGCTGCACACTTCCCATAGGATCTTCCCTATTGAGCCCCTAATATTACTCAAGCCAGGTTTCTTGAGAAGTACAACCTCCATTCTATTCTCTCCTTGCTTTTATTTTAAAATGTCACACACCCCATCATCATTTTCATCCACTATGGAATTTTTAGGGTTTTTTCCATCAGCAAGAACAAAGCCCGTAAATTTAATATAATAGTAAGTAATATTATATAAATATTATAACAAGTGTTACTTTGTTCCCTGGGAGAAG